CTTACTCCACACAGAGCCTAATAATAATCCTCCAAAACCAAAAACAATAATAAATTGGTCATTTTCAATCTACGACTGTTTGTGGGACATTGCTGTGCGCAATTGGCTGCCGCGTTCGCCACAAATATACAGTCAATTCACTTTACAGTGTGTTCTGTGAAGCGCTTTGGGACGTCCTCCCGACGTGAAGAGCGCTATATCAAATGCAAGGATTATTATTATTATATTACTCCAGCAACAGGTTGTCCTAAGCCCAGGGCGGTGATGGCCTCAGGCTGTAAGGAGCAGTTAGGCTCAAACAGCACATGGTGCGTTTGTACAGGAGCCAATCACAGGGGGAAGCTCGGCAGCCAATCACAGGGGGAAGCTCAGCAGCCAATCACAGGGGGAAGCCCGGCAGCCAATCACAGGGGGAAGCCCGGTAGCCAATCACAGGGGGAAGCTCGGCAGCCAATCACAGGGGGAGCCACTCCACAACATACATCTTCACACAGGAAGGAATTTAATAAGAGCAAATCAAATCCAATAGCTTTGTTCCCCACGTTGAGCACAGCAATCAAGATGTAATTGCATTATTCTAACAGTCTCTCGCAATATTAGTCAAACCACCCAGAGGCCATTGTCTTATACTGTGTTAGAACTGAATCTTCTCTTCCTACAGCTGTGATTGAGCAGCTTCTCATCTATGTGGGTTCTGTAGCTCAATGTGGAGTCCTGTAGTGTATTGGTTAGAGCGCTCGCCTCGGAAGCGAGAGACCCCACACTGAGCTACAGGACTCCACAAGAGTTAAGAGCTCCAGGTCCGATCGTAAACCCAGGAGAGCTGGAAATGCCACCACCATCCGGCTCCCATCAACGCCAGGAAAGAATCTAACAAAAATCAAATCCCAAACACTCAGATGATTAGAGCGACAGCTGGGCTGCTCGGCCACTCCACAATAACAACTTCTGTCCTCGCCCAAAGTTTAGCCAATTATTTCTAATAATGAGCGACAGAGGATAAAACTTATCCCTTACACCTTACAGCAAAGGTAGAAGAGACCTTGTATTTTCATAGCACATTATCACACTGAAATGTTTTAAAGCGCTTTATATACTTGTATTTGATAAAATAATCCTTGCATTTGATATAGTGCCTGATGATGTCGTCGAGATGTTGCAAAGTGCTTCACAGAATATACTGTGAAGTGAATTGACTATATTTTGTGGGCAAAAACACAGCAGTCAATTGCGCACAGCAGTGCCCCACAAACAGTCTTGGAATGAACGACAAGCGATCCATCAATCGATTAAGAATAACATCTTGCATTTATATAATGCTCTTCATGCTGGGTGGGGTCCGAAGTCTGACCCGGAGCCAGAGGAAGTGAGGGGGGAGGTAACCATAAGCACAATCAAAAGGAAGGTCTTTAGCCAGGATTTGAAAGTGGAGAGGGAGGGGGCAAGGCAGAGGGGTTGAGGGAGAGTTCTAGAGTTTAGGGGCTTAGTGGCTGAAGGCATGGCCAACGCTGGTGGAGGGCACAAGGGACAAAGAGGAGGCCAGAGCCAGCTGAGCAGAAGTAGTGGATGGTGGAGTGGAGGCTAACCAAGCTGGATAGATAGGGAGGTGCTTTGGGTGAGGAAATTATTACCCCAGGAAAAGCAATCTGCCAATCGACTAGCGACCAGGTTCGTACTTACTGCTTGGTAAACAAAGGCGTGTGGGGTCAGGAAACTTGGCCAACATTTCACCCTGGCCAGAATCAAAACCAGAACTCTTGCTTGATTGAAAGCTCTAACCACTAAGCTACAGGACTCTATTGAATATACTGTGAAGTGTATTTCAATAACACAAATTAAATTTGTAACTTGCCAGAATATACCAAGCACCGGAATGCGTACACACCTACACACCCATAATCCTCTCGCACACTCCCACCCGCGCACACAATCCTCTCCCCAGACCATCTATTCTGCACCAGTTGTGAATGTGACCCAGATTTCAGTCACTGAGCCTCTCCACAGTGAGATGAGATTTAGAGATGTCTGAATACTGCCATCTGGTGGTCAGATCAGCCTCTTGCGCTGGGCAGTGATTGGACGAGAGGAGGGAGGGAGGTGATGAAGTGTTGCTAAAAAGCTGAATCAAAGAAAGTTTTTTTTAGGAGGGTCTTGAAGAGGTGTCGAGAAGTGAACTCTACTGAGCAGAGGTGGACGGACACAAATCATTGGCTTATACCTTTCAGTATAACTGGAGTTCCTTTTGCTGCCGTGGGGGGTGGGGGATTCTCCACCCACACAATCTCACCCAATGGCTCATCGCTCAAGTCGATGAGTCGCTGCACATAGTAATTTGCCTGTTCCTTGATGCAAGCAAAACAGCTTGTAATTGCACCTTACAGTAACTTGAAGGAAAAAGAGAATGAATTTTGCAGTAAAGGGAAGCGATCCAGCGCTGAGGATGACGAGGAGATGTTCTGGAATCTTCTCAGTGAGAGAGTAGGGACATGACTATATGAAAGGTCGAAGAGGAAAGTCTTCAGGTGTGATCTGAAAATGGGTAAAGAGGGGCGAGGCGGAGTGGTTAAGGCAGGGAGGTCCGCAGGTTTGGGGTATCGTAGCTGAAGGCATGGCCGCCAAGGGTGGGGCAGAGAGCCACGAGGCACAGAAGGTCCAAGTCAGCCAAGCGAACGATGTATGCGAGTACAACTTAGCAACACAAGGAAATGTGGTACAATAATAATGCTTATATTTGATTCCGCACCTTATCACATAGGAAATGTGTCTCAAAGCGCCCACAGGATTTACTGGGAGGTGGATTGGCTGAGATTTTTTTGTGAGCGAAAATACAAACACGGAGAATCTGGTGAGAATGGCCCACGGTTTCTAACCTTTTTTACATCCTTAATTGCTTCCTTTCCTTTCTGGAAGGATCAAAATTGGGAACAGTTGGTTCAGTCTGAGACTGAGCCAGTCACTGAGCTGCCAGTGTCTTTCCAGGCACGAGTTTCCCAAACAAATCACTGATGGATTAATTTCAAAGTGGCCGATAAGCAACAAACAGTCACTTTACAAAACCTGTATAATAATAACTATTATTAAAATGAGCGAGCAAGCGAATCAGCAGTCAGTCACGGGACATGATAAATAACACAGCCCACCAGGCTGCGCACGTGCACGCATCCCCATGGTATATGCCCACAATAACACAGCCCACCCCAGGGCTCGCGCGCATACAGCCCACCCCAGGGCTCGCGCGCACACACCACCCAGGGCGCGCGCGTGCGCACACACACAACACCCAAGGCACACGTGCGCGTACACACACCACCCAGGGCACACGTGCGCGCACGCACACACACACCACAGGGCACGCGCGGGTGCACACTCACCACATAGGGCGCGCGCACACCAACCAGGGCACGTGAGTACACACACCACCCAGGGCACGCACGCGCACACACACACCACCCAGTGCACGCACGCACGCAGACACACCAGCCAGGGCGCGCGCAGACACACCACCCAGGGCGCGCGCAGACACACCACCCAGGGCGCGCGCACACACACACACCACCCAGGGCGCGCGCACTCACACACACCACCCAGGGCACGCGCACTCACACACACCACCCAGGGCGTGCACGTGCACACCACCCAGGGCGTGCACGTGCACACCACCCAGGGCACACGCGCACACACACACCACCCAGAGCGCGCCCGTGCATGTGCACACCACCCAGGGCGCGCACACACACACACACACCACCCAGGGCGCGCGCACACACACCACCCAGAGCGCGCGCACACACACCACCCCAGGGCGCGCGCACACACACCACCCCAGGGCGCGCGCGCACACACCACCCCAGGGCGCGCGCACACACACCACCCCAGGGCGCGCGCGCACACACCACCCCAGGGGGCGCGCACACACACCACCCCAGGGCGCGCGTACACACACACCACCCCAGGGCGCGCGTACACACACACCACCCAGGGCAAGCGCGTACACACACACCACCCAGGGCACGCTCACGCACACACACCACCCACAGCACACACACCCACACACCCCGCAGGGTGCACACACAACCCCACAGCCATACCCCAGGGTAAACACATACCCACACACAAGCTGGGTGGGTGGGGAACACAAGCACTTTCACTCAAGGACATGCACCTGACCCAGACTCAATGTCTCTTCTCTGGCCTCATTCATAATAATAATCCTTGTATTGGATATAGCAAACACACGACATTGAGATGTCTCAAAGCGCTTTACAGAATTCACTGTAAAGAGTAGTGACCATATGTTGTGGACAAAACACAGCAGCCAATTGCGCACAGCAGTGTCCCACCAACAACTTTGGACTGAGTGACCAAATTATGCTTATTTATTTAGAAGAAGATCCCCCAATGAAATGGCCTCAGCTGGCCTGTCGCACAGTAACTTCACATAAGCCACTCATGGGTGGAAAGGAAATACAAAGGAATTAACAACAGAGAGACTTATTATGGGTCCAATTGTTTTTTCAGGATCTTAAATGCTCAGGTTAGAGAGCGCTCATCAATGTAGTCACAACTCCCTCTTATCGAATGGGGACCAAAATTTATGTCAAGGGGTGGAGGGGCCCCTTTAATAGTCCGTCAGCACCATGCCATTGATCAGGGCCCGTTTCCACATGTAGTAGGTAGAGCGGGGGGTCAGAGGGTAGAAACCGCTGAATTCCTTGAAAGTCGGGAAAGTGTTTGACTCGAATCGTTGCTGCAGAAACAGTTTGGCTTCAGCCTTGGACAAAGATGTCACATTGAAGGTCTTGGCAGGAGCTGGGAGCAGAGAGAACATTCCAGATCGGAGGCAGGTGGAGGCAGCAACGAGATGCTGACGCCTGTCCAATGATACCCCCGTCTCACCACAGGCCCTCAGCCCCGCCCCCTCTCGTCGCTGCTGTCTCAGCCCCGCCCCCTGGTGGCCGGCTGCCCTCCTCCACAGGAAATAGGTGGAGCTGGAGATGGTCCGGTACCGGACACGGAACACGGAGTGAGGCATTCGCCATTTTTGGACCCTTCTCTTGGCTTCTTCCCGCTCCGTCCTCTGCAAGGGGGAGGGATTACTCTTGCTGCCACAGAGGGGGAGGAAAGGGCTTCGAAGGTCACTTCCTGCCCTGCTCTTGTACAGAGAGGGCAATTGAAGATCACCAAGTCCCACCAAAGTGTTTCCAATCTGCCCCGTGGCACTGTCCTTGGGTCCCAGAGCTACCCGGGTCATGGCCTCTCGTCGCCAGTTGTAATACGTGGACCTGGAGATCCAGGGGTAAGTCTTCCTGAAGCTCTTGTAGGGAGGACACATGTTCAGGGATACACAGTTCCTCAGGAAGCTTTTAACCAGCTGCATGGATGGTGACCTTTGGCTGTTAAAGGGCCTTGGGAAGCCGGGCCTGGGGTGGAGTTTGGAGCTCTCTGTGTTCTCCGAGCCCCCCGAGAGAGGTGACTGGTTCTCGTTTGCCCCCGGAATCCCAGCGTCCAGCCCTGGGACTCTCACACCCGCCCCCAGGAGCATCTCGTGTTTCCAGGTGTAATAGGTGGAGCGGGAGACCTCGGGGAAGCGGGTTCGGAATTGCTGGAGGGGCAGGAAGCTACCAGCTGAGAAACATTGCTGGAGATATTGCTTGGCCTCGTACCTGGTGGCTGCTTTCTGCCTGTGCTCCCAGGATTGTCTCTTCCACCTGTAGAAGGTGCTTTTGGTGATGCTGTATTTCTCCCGTAGCATAGAGTAGGAGATGTCAGGGTCCATGTTCAGGAGCTCCAAGGTGTTGCGAGGCAAAGCCTCCCCTGAGCTGGGGCAGTGCAGGGTGCTGACGGGTACAACGGGGGCAAAGTACTGAGGCCTGAAGACCGAGCGGGAGAGGCTCTCCCCTGCCCACATAACATGTAGAGTCTGGGACTGACAGGCAGACCCCGCCCTGGCCCGGGGCCGGATAATACGATTGAAATAGGGTCTGATCTTCATGTTGCTCATGGGGTAGATGGAGTACACATCTCTCTGCAGAACTGAGGCCAGAGCATAGATGTGCCACATGTTGGAGAAGGTGCCAGGGAAGCAGGTAGCCTTGACATCGGCGTCAAAGATGGCCTCCAGGATGGCCATAGGCAGCTGGTCCATTCGAGCCGCAGACTCCTCAGTGCAGAGAGAGAATCTGGCCGCCTGCAGCATGATCTTGGAGTCGATCATCCCCTTGAGGTAATACTGTTTGTGGAGCAGCATCTCCACCATGGTCCTGACCTGCAGCTCCGCGCTCAGGCTGCTGTCACCCAACAGCGACACGCTGGCCGCTTCAAATAGGTGGTTCCCCTGACCCTGACAGCTCAGAGGGACCATGTCCATTGGGGCATCCTCAGGATACAAGGCTTTGGCCTCCAGATCCACCTCCGTTCCCATCGAGACATTCCTGTTCCTCTCACAGGCCGAAGGGACAGAGAAGCTAGATAATAACTTGCCGACGTCGGAGGTGACGGCTCGGAGATAGTCAGGGTCTGGCCATTCAGTGGCCTCCTGCAGCTTACAGCGCAGAGCATCCACCAGCTCCGCCCTTCCGGCATCCCTAAGGGAGATAGACAGAGTCAATGCAATTCCTGTTTGGATATTGACACGGAATCTCAACAACAACTAGCATTTATATAACAAACACCCTTTGCACAGGGTAGGGTAACCAGGAGACAGGAGTGTAAGATACGACATGGGGAATTAAAAGAAAATTTAGGAGGAACTACTTCACACAAGAGTAACGAGAATGTGGAACTCATTACCTGAAGTGATGGTTGAATCAGAAAGTGTAGATACATTCAACAGGTAGCTAGAACTTGACATGAAGGGAGAGGGGAATAGAGAGTGTGGGAGGGAGTAAAGACTTGTGTGGTTGGGCCGAGTGTCTGTTTATGTGCTGTACATTCTTTATAAACTCCGTAAGAACATTTAACGTTTTGCTACAAGTAAATATAAAATTTAATAATGCAGCATCATTCAAAATAAAATAATCCTACAACAAGGATTATGATCAATCAAATTACAGTAACAGCACATGAAGTCCTACATATGTCCACCAGAAAGCATTGTGTTCCAATAAACAGAAAGCTTCCCATTAATGGAATGCAAGAGTGGCTTTCATTAAAACTACCAGGTCATTGTAGTTAGCACAGCACAGGGGGCCAATTAAGCCTCTGCTGGTGCCAGTTATCTCCTTCCCTCAAACCCAGTTTCCTGTTCCTTGATATTGTTACAAACGCACTTCATTTTCAGAGGCGATATCCTTCTGGGAAACATCTCATCTGCCTGTTCAGGTGGACATTCATTATTGGCACTATTAGAGCAGAGAAGGGAGTCTCGGCCAACAATCCTCCAGATAAATTGGTCGTTCGCTTCAATGCCTGTTTGTGAGACCTTGCCACAAATTGTTTGCAGTGTTTGCGTAAAAATACACAGCGACTTCACTTAATAGCAATTAGTAATAATTATCCTTGCATTTGATATAGCGCCTTATCACATCTTCGAGACGTCTCAAAGCGCTTCACGGAATATACTGTAAAGTGAATTAACTGCATATTTTGTGGGGGATTACATGTAAAGTGCTGTCACTTTTGTTTTGCCAACATAGGCAACATTTGTGGAGTCCTATCATATAGTGGTTAGTGCGCTCGCTTCACAGGCGAGAGGACCTGGGTTCAATTTCCAGGCAGGACGAAACCTTAGGTAAGTTTCCTTACTCCACACACCTCTGTTTACCCAGCAGTGAGTAGGAACCCAGTTGTAATAATCCAGGAGTTCAAAAAAATATATAATAATTTGGTCACTCAATCCACAACTGTTTGTGGGACGCTGCTGTGTGTAATTGACTACCACATTTCACCCACAAGATATACAGTCAATTCACTTTACAGTAGATTCTCGGAAGCGCTTTGAGATGTCTCAATGACATGGTAAGTCACCGTGTCAAATGTAAGAGTTATACTTGTCTATTATTATGGTACCAAATGCAAAGATTAATCTTAATATCAACAACAAAAATAGAATTAAACAGGTAATCCAGTGATTGACACACCAAAAGTGCACTCTTCAAGTCAACAATAACACCCTGCATTGATAGAGTGTCACAATATTCCATTGCTGCACATGCACAGACCTTACTAGGGATCAAGCACAGGAAACGTTCCCCTTATATCCAGGCTATGCCATACCTGACCAGACAAATACAAGTCTAATAACCCACGTGTAGCAAACAGGAAGTGATATTGGCAGTGACCCGATGACTTAGAATTTGGCCATCGTTTCCCCATCAACACAGGCTGGGAGCTGCTGGCAGAATCCTCTCAATCGCTATCCTGATGCTGTGGGAGTTACCCTGGAATTAGGTTCAGTAAATTTGTGCCTGTGGTAGCCCACAGTCACAAAACTTTACAGGAAATACAGTGAAGCGCTACAAGACATCCTCCTGATACAAAAGACGCTGTAAAGTTTATTAATCACTCAGTCAATTGATTTCTATAAATTAACAGTCTAGAGTAAGGGGGGGGATGCAAGATTGAGAATATAAAAGCACCAGGACTGTGGGGGGGGGGGGGGGGGGGGCGGACAGAATTTTAAGAAATGAACAATTTTTAAAGACTGGTTTCAGTCTCCTCCACTTTGGGAAATTTAGGAAGAAAAATAAAGCATGGGATGTTTTCCCCCTCACCTACTTCCTTGCAATTCTTGGTACTTTCCCCAGCAGCTTTTCCAATGAAATTCACAATTTACTCCAACAAATATAAGAATCACATCTGCATTTCTATAGTGCCCTTCACTCAGGGTAGCGACTCGAAGTGCTTAATAATAATAATTGTTGCATGTGATATAGCACTTTATCATATCATCGAGACATCTTAAATCGCTTCACAGGATGTACTGTAAAGTGGATTGACCATGTATTTTGTGGGCGAAATGCACACAACAATGTCCCACAGTCATGGAGTAAATGACCAATTTTTTAGTGAGATTATTACTATTTAATATTTAAGAAGATGCCGAGTTTGCCTTTTGGACTCTCCTAAAAGTATTTCAAAAAAAGTTAAGGAAATTGGGAAAACTCACACATAATAATACTTGCATTTGATGTAGAGCCTTATTACATCATCGAGATGTGCCAAAGTGCTTCACAGGATACACTGTAACGTGTAGTAACTGTGTATTTTATGGGCTCACAGCAGCGCCCTAAATATAGTCGTGACCACATTTTTTTGCAAATTTGGCTGCAAATAAACAAGTTTGGAGAGGGGGGGAACGGAAAGTCTTTTAACCATTTACTCACTGGTTGTCTGTGGGGATCTCTTAGACTTGCTCTGCTCTTTGTCCCATCTATTCATCATTTACTTCTGCTCAAACCACTGAGATCTGAACACGTTATGGGTAGGCAGAAACAGAAATCTAAAGCCAGCAATTTGAAAAGTTGTGGGGGAAAAAGTTGAGATAAGTTACACAGAAAGTTTGCTCTTCCCCACCCCTCCCCCTCTGTTTACCCCTTTGTTAAAACAAACAATTTAGAAGCTCTGAATGAGCCGCTTGGCTTCATAAAACCTCATCTCATTTCAGCCTCAGATCTATAGAAAAGTCTGTATCAAACAAATAGACTCACCTTAAACAAATCCCCAAATGAGAGCTGCAAAAGGGAGATGGGGTGATTGCAATTATTTTTTCTCTCTCCTCCTCCCCGTTGCTCCCGATGTTGCCTTTTAACAAGTGACTGGGTCTGACCAGTTCCAAATTGAGACGTAAAGGGCTGAGGATTCCCAATTCTGGAGGCTGTCAGTCTAATGAGGAAAGGAGAAGAGTGTTGCTGTCAAACCCCACCCCCAAAGAACTGGTCAATGAGTCTCTCTCTCCCCTTGAGATGAAAGGACCCAGTCTCCACAGTCAATTCCAATGGTATGTGATAATGAGCACTGTCTCTCTGATTACAACACTCAAGTGTCCCATCTCCCATGCTAACCGCTTCCTGACTTCACAAGGTGCAAGTTTGGTGATTCTTACAAGCAGTTTCCTGATATACAGGGTGAATCAGAAGTCCTTACTCATAAAGTTTTAATTATTAATTTTGTTCTTTTTTTAAAAGACAACATTCATAGAGAGTGTGTAACTATTACACGTGAGTAATAATAACATAATAATAATCCTTGCTTCTGATTTGGTGCCTTATCACTTCGTTGAGACATCTCAAAGCGCTTCACAGAATATATGGTAAAATGAATTTACAATTGATTGTATATTTTGGGGGCAAAACTCGGCAGCCAATTCCACGCAACAGTGTCCCACAAACAGTCGCGGATTGAGTGACCACATTTTTTTTAAGGGGTTATTACACCCGGAAAGCAATTCACCAATCGACTAACAAGCGGGTTTCTACTTACTGCTGGATAAACAGAGACGTTTGGAGGAAGGAAACTCTCATTGCGTTCATGAAAGGTTTTGTCACCAAGTTGATATGTGTAAACGTCTAAATGACAATGTAGTTTGAACATCTCGTATAATAATAAATAATAATAATCCTTGCATTTGATACAGCGCCTTATCATGTCTTCGAGGCATCTCAAAGTGCTTCACAGAATATACTGTAAAGTGAATTGATTGTGTATTTTGTGGGAGAAACACGGCAGCCAATTACACACAGCAGTGGCCCACAACAATCGTGGATTGATTGACAAAATAATTATTTGATAGACCTATGAGTAAGGACTTTTGATTCACCGTGCATATTTTTTTTGCAGGCCTGCAGTCACTACACTTCACATCAAACCTATGAAGTGCTTTGAGACTTTCTCATTGCGCGGAAAACACAATATCGAACACAAGGATTATATTTACCTATTGCTCTGTCTTGTAATTGTTTTTAAAGTTTTTTCCTCATTGTCTTCCTCTATTCCCCCTTTGCTCTCCAATCGCATTGTAGGACGTTTATCAGGTTTGCAATGAGTCTGTGTCGGCAAATCTCAGGGTGACTAGGGAGGTATCTATATTCTTTAGAATATAGAAAAATTAGAGGTGATATTATAGAAACCTATAAGATTCTTAAGGGTCTTGACAGGGTAAATGCCATGAGACTGTTTCCCTTGGTTGGAGAATCTAAAACTCGGGGTCATAGTCTCAAGATTAAGGGTCAGCCTTTTCGAACTGAGTTGAGGAAACATTTCTTCACTCAGAGGGTAGTGAATTTGTGGAATTCTCTACCACAGAAGGCTGTAGGTACAACAACAACAACTTGGATTTATATAGAACCCTCCACGCCGGACAGCGTCTCAGAGCACTTCAAGATGCTCAGTCCTTGAACATATTCAAGACTGAGGTTGATAGATTTCTAAACGATAGAGGTATTAAAGGATATGGGGATAGGGCGGGTAAATGGAATTAGGTTAGATCAGCCAAGATCTTATTAAATTGTGGGCAGGCTCGAGGGGCCGAGTGGCCTACTCCTGCTCCTACGTCTTATGGTGTCCTACTCCAAAGGTCTCACATTTCATTCAACCTGTAAAACTATTTTACCTTAAAATTAAATTAAGAACTTCCAGAATTGTGGAAAAAAATCTTAAATTCAGTCTTAATTTGGAAGCCGTTTTCTCTTTAAGAACACAAAGTGTAGTGACTGTGCGTTTTGCAGGCCAACATGGAAGCTAATTTGCACTTTGGAGTCCAATATCATAGTAGTCAGAGCGCTCGCCTCACAAATCAGAGGACCTGGGTTTAATTCTCGGGCAGGGCAAGTTTCCTTACTCAACACAACTCAGGCCTTGAACCCACAAGTTTCTGACCTTGAGGTAAGAGTCCTGCCATCTGAGCCAGCCTGACACCATAACTTCCAAAACTCAAAAAAATGTTTTCATTAATTTTCCAACCAGAATACAATAATATAAAAATCCTTGCATTTGGTATAGATTGTCGTCAAGATGTCTCAAACCACTTCACAGGAAGTGTAGTGACTGTCTATTTGCAGGTTAATGTGGCAGCCAATTTCCAGAGAGCAATGTCCCACAAACAGCCATGAAGGGAATGTGAGGGGATCATTCGCCAGGATATCAGGAGAAAGAAAC